AGACTGTAGAGGAGAGACAGGATAAAAAGAGAGAGAAAAGGATAAATAGAAGAAAATAAGATTGAAGGAAATGCATGGTTAGTAATCATAACTGTGAATGTGAATGGGATGAACTCACCCATAGAACAGAAGCACATAGCAGAGTGGATTAGAAACCAGAATCTAACAATATATTGTTTTATAAGGCACACTTGAAATAGAAAGATACACAGAGTTAAAATAAGGGGCTGGAAGAGAATCTATTATGCTTTAGATGAAGTAAAAAAAAAAAGTATGTAGTAGTAATCATGATTTCAGACAAAACAAAAGCAAAAATAAACCTAATTAGAAGGGATAAGAAGGAAAACTACATCTTACTAAAAGGCACGATAGAAAATTAAGTGATGTCAAAACTAAATATATATGCACTAAATGTACAACATTTAAATTCTTAAAGGAAAAGTTAAGTGAATTACATGAGGAAATTGACAGTAAAACTATGCTAGTGGGGGATATCAACTTTTCCCTCTAAGAGCTAGATAAATAACTATAAAATAAATAAAAATAGATATGATGGAACTTTGAAGAAAACTGAAGGGAAATAGAAAGGAGTAAACCGTTTTCCCAGCTATACATGGCACCTTGACAAAAGTTGGCTATAAAAAAACCCTCATAAACAAATGCAAAACAGCAAAAATTTCAAATGCATCCTTTCCAGACCATAATTCAATAAAAATTACATTTAATAATGGACCATGGAAGCATAGATTAAATTTAAGTGGAAACTAAATACCTAATCTAATTGAGTTGGTAAAAAAATAAATTATTGTTTTTGTTTTTTCAGTTGTCTTTGACTCTTCATGACCCCATTTGGGGCTTGATTGGCAAAGATACTAGAGTCTGTGCCATTTCCTTTTCCAGCTTATCTTACACATGAGGAAACAGACAAACAGGATTAAATGATTTGCAAAGGTCACATAGCTACTAAGTACCTGAAGCTGGATTTGGACTTAGGTCTTCCTGATTCCAGGCCCAGTGCTCTATCTACTGCACCACCTAGCTGCCCTACAAATCATAGAAATAATTGATAAATTAATTAATTAAAGAGAATGGTAACAATGAGACAACATGCCAAAATTTGTGGGATGCAGTGAAAGCAATACTTAGAGGGTACATCAATAAGAGAGAGAAAGAGCAGCTCAGTGCAACTTAAAAACAAACTAGTTAAAGAATAAATTTAAAATCCCCAAGTAAACATCAAAATGAAAGTCCTGAAAATCAAAAGAGTGATTAATTAAAGTGAAAGTAAAAACAAAATAAAACAAAACATTGGATTAATAAATAAAACTAGAAACTAGTTTTATGAAAAATAAAATAAATAAACCATTGAGTAATTTGATTTTTTTAAAAAGGAAGAAAACCAAATTACCAGTATCAAAAATGAAAAGGGTGAATGAATCACCAATGAAAATGAAATTAAATCAATTATTAGGAACTATTTTGCCCAATTATATATCAGCAAAACTGATGACCTAAATGAAATGGATGAATATTTATGAAAAAATAAACTACCCACATTAACAGAAGAGGAATTAGGATACTTAAATAACTTAAGGGGAAAAGAATTGAATAAGCCACATATGACTTCTCTAAGAAAAAATCCTCAGGACAAAATGGATTTACAAGTGAATTCTACCAGACATATAAGGAACAATTAATCCCAATGCTATATAAACTTTTTTGAAAAAATAGATAAAGGAGTCCTACCAAATTCCTTTTATGACACAGATAAGATTGATACGTAAACGAGGGAGAGAAAAAATAGAGAATGAAAACTACAGACCAATTTCCTGAATGAATATTGATGCTAAAATTTTAGCAGTTCTTTTTGCTAGGCAAAAAATTAGAAAGGAGGTGATGCCCATAAGTTAGGGAATGGCTAAGCAAGTTGTGGCATATGACTAGAAGTATGGTATCTGATGAAATACAATTGTACTATAACAAATGAGCAGGATGGTTTTAGAAAAACCTGGGAACTGATATGATATGAACTGATGCAAAGTGAAGTCAACAGAACTAGGAGAACATTGTACACAGTAACAACAATATTGTAAGAATTAGCGTCTGTGAAACTTGTGAAAACTTGTGAAAATTAGCAACTTAACTAAACTGATCAAGACAATGTTCTAAGACAATTCTAAAGTATGCATGATGAAAAATGCTATTAATTTCCAGAGAGAGAAAAGATGAATTCTGAATACAGATTGAAGCACACTTTTTTAACTCTATTTTTTGGGATTTTTTTGTCTGTGCATTCTTTTGTAACATGGTTTTATATGAAAATGTTTTGCATGAATTTGCATGTGTAATTAATACCAAATTGCTTACTTTATCCAATAGGGGGAAGGTGTTGGAAGGAGGATTGGCTCCACAAAAGAGGCAAACCAGCCAGAGATGCTAAAATCAACAAGGTTTTAATATGGGCATAATTTACTTAACTCAAGAAAGACATAAGATCTAACTTGAGAGAGTCCCAGGGGCATGAGGGTGGGGACACAGAAGGAAGAGCTCAGGGCAAAGGATATACATGGGTCACAGTCAGCATTCTAAAAGTAGAGGTGAGGAGGTAATGTGTTCCAGGCCTGCTTCTAAGGGAAAGGGGAAGGAAACCTTGAAAAATGCATGGACACAAGATAGCATTCCATGAATGAAGAATAACAAGTAGTCCAGTTTGGATAGACCATAGCATCCTATACGTGCAAAACCCATAAGATGGGTTTTTCTTCTCCATTTTTTTCATTTTAGATGTAGCAAATTCAAGATTCAAGATTCAACCTTGTAAGCTTAAGCAACTGAACTACTTGCAGGTCTAGGGACAGAGTCTGCAGGGCAATTGGCGGCCAGCTGGTCTACCTCTGAGTCCTGAGAATTAAGAAGTATTTGTCAGGACAAAGCCCAGACCAGACCAGCGGTAGCAGAAACAAGGTTCAATGAACAGTGATGACACATTTGAATGCAAAGTTGTAAGACTAATACTATGTAGAAACTGTGCAAAGTCTTAGCTAACTGAGAAACTGAGGTGGCATGTGGGAATGAATGTTTGTGAAGAGTTAAGAGGGAAATTTTACACCTCTGTATACTCATGCTTCCATTGTTGATATAGCTTAAAGTGTTACCATATAGATAGTGTGTAGTCCACATGGATTTTCTAAGAAGAGACTTTGACAGTTATCTTGGTAATCTTTCCCATCCCTCTTCAAGTGAGACCAAAGACAAAATATGACTCCAGAGGACCAATGATGAAGCCCACTACCCTCCTCCTGATAGAGAGCTGATGAACTCAGAGTGCCAATATACTTTTTGGATATAGTCAAGGTTGGAATTTGGATATGGCCAAATAGCTAATGAGAGAGAGAGAGAGAGAGAGAGAGAGAGAGAGAGAGAGAGAGAGAGAGAGAGAGAATAAATGCTTATTCATTGAAAAAAATGTAAAATAAAATGAATTTTAGATGAGAAATATTGTTTTGACATCTAAGTAGAGAATAAATTGGAAAGAGGAAAGGCTTGATGTAGTGAGACTGGTCAGGAAATTATTGTAATATTTGAGGTGATAAGGGCCTCAAGTAGAGTGGTGGCCATGTGAATAGAAAGAAAGGGATGGATTCAAAAGATGTGGAGGTAAACTTAACAGCGCTGAACAACCAATTGGATAAAGAGACAGAAGAGGAGGGAGAATTAAGAGTTGAAATGAGACAAGATAGAAATTAGAAATAAGACATAAAAGCTCCATGCATATTTCTTATGGGTGAAGTTTGACAGGTGGTCATCAGGAGTGCGCAACTAGTACTGTCTTGATGCCAGAGAAATCAATGAAGGCCTCTTAGCATGTTAGAGGACCTTCTGTTGTGAACTTCTGGGAGAACAGGAATGAGAATCTCACAGGATAGGCAGGTTTAGATGGGTTGCATTTCTGAATCTCTAAAGGAAATTTCCAAATCTATGCAATCACAGATCTATTTGAGTATTTGAGTTCACGTAAAACCAAAAAAGTAAAATATTTTTAGAAAACAGTCATGAAATTATTCAGGTACAGTGAGTCTTCGAAGAGTCTTCAAATGGTCAAGACACTCAAGATGAAAACATATATCAATTCAATTTAATTCAACCAATAAGTGTTAAGTAACAACTATTTTCAAGGCTCTATAACTTAGAAATATAAAGATTTTTTGCCATCCTTGCAATCCAAAACTTGCAATCCAAAAGAGGCATGCACGGTGTAGACAAAAGTAGGCAATGTGCAAATCAAATATAATAGATGTTTAATAGAGGTGGTATATGCAAGAGCCAGGAAAAGATTCAGCATTTGCCGTTTTCCAGAAGGAAAAAGCCCTTGTCCCTAATCTAAAAACAATAATGTAAAATATTTGCCTCAGTATTTTATTCATCACCCTTTGCTCCTCCCCAGAAAACTGAGCTCTTCTCATTGGAGCTGAATAAATGAGAACTATTCCCCAAAGTTCTCCCAACTTAAAGAGTTGAGGTTTCTCTTCCTCTGCTTACATCATTGGCTGGGCACCTGTGTCACCATCTGTGTACCTAAGGCATCTCTACCCTTATCTAAGTATGTGTCATTGCATAAATAGGAAACACTCCAGAGGCTCCGCCAAGCAAACAGAAAATAATTCAGTCTCCTTGACAAATGAGGGATAAATAAAAGCAATGCCTAGGTGATCCTATGCAAAGGGCATTTAATTCAAACTATAAATTGAGGAGAAGCAATATTACAAAGCCAGCCTCAGGGCTAAGAGGACTTGGGTTCAAGTCCCTTCTTGGATACATACTGGTTTTGTGACTTTGGACAAGTCACTTAACCTCTTGGTGCTGTAGGCAGCACTTTAGACTAAGATACAGGGAAAGACTACTTTCATAGGTAGAGAGAGCTCTCCAAACAGATTAGCATAGGTCCCATACCTATAAACTAAGCCCAATGAAGTCTGCCCCCAAAGTCAAAGCTTACTTACCCACATAGGAGGAATACTAGTTCACAGCTAAAATGCAGACAGATTTGCCACAGGAGCACTGCAGTAGACACTAGACACAAGGCTTTCTGAAGTTTTACTCCATGAGTAGGTAATCAAATCACCAACTAAAGAGAACAGTAGATTATGAAATATTAAAAATATCTTGTGCACTGAGACTTTTTACCAATTCATTTCAACAAACAATTATTAAGTCCTTACTGTGTGCAAAGTGCTATACTGGGCATTAAAGGAAATGACCAAGTTTCAATTATTTATGGGCCCTACCCTTGAGGAAATATGACATACACAAATAACTTGCTTATAAGTCAATACCACTCTGGTGCTGTGGAGAACACATTATTCATGCTTTCTCCTCCCATTCAGCCTATCATATAGTGGGTGCTTAATAAATAAATACTGATTACCTTGCTTTGACTTTCCCACACTGGCTATGGGACTGTGGAAGACACTTAGCCTCACGGTGCTCTAAGTAACTTTCTAAGAATAAGCTCTAGAAGAAGCGTGTACCTGCATTGGTCTGAAAAGTTTACTCATCTGAGAGCTCTATCTACCAATGAAATCTTAGATCCATTCTCTATTCTATTCCTTAAGAGTCTGTGTGTTGGTGGTCTTCCTTCCATCTTTGAAAGATTCTGATAGAAGTGAAATTCTCTGGCTAATTCACCCCTTACTCTGGCTATATGCCTCATTTTATGGTGATGAATAATCACCATGACATTCATATAACATTTTGAGGTTTGCAAAGCACTTCATGTACATTATCTCATTTGAGTCCACAGTACCTCTGTGAAGTTGGCACCACAGATATCATCCTCATTTTAAAAATACATATATTTTACTTTTAATTTATAGAATAAAACAAGCATTTCCATAACAGCATAATAAAAAAGATTATTGTGCATGAAACTGCAAATCTATTATATACAATTTGCTATTCCTTTTAAATGTATAATAAAATTATCATGTAAATTTGTTTCTTTTCCTTTTTTTTCTTCTCTCCCCCCTACCCTAGAGATGGCTACCATTAGACACAAATAGTTATAATATGTAAATTATTCTATACATATTTCAATTTGTCAGTTCTTTCTGTGGATGCAGATAATGTCTCTCTTAATATGCCCTTTGTTTTTAATTTATGTGTTTACAATAGTCAAAATAACAGTTGTTTGAAGTTGTTCTTAAAATAACATTGCTGTTACTACATAAATCATCACTTGGTTATACTTACTTTACTCTTCATCCTCATTGTATGTAAGAAACTGAGGCTCAGAAAAATCAATTGGATTGCTCAGAGTGGAGAAACTGAGTCTCAACGAGGTTAAGTGACCATGGGCAAGTATTAGATCTTCTTGACTCCAAGTTCAACACTGTGTCTCAGTTGATATTTACCACAAAAGGATTACTAAAGTTATGTTTTGTGGTTTTATCAAGCAAATTTATAATATCCATATATATATATATATATATTATATAATATATATATAATATAAATATTATATATATATATATATATATATCACATATATATATAAAGGAGTCATCTGGTTGAATATGAACTTTTAAAGATGCATTTTGCTCTACAAAATCAAAAGCTTAATTGTAATCAAGAAACAATAAACACACTCGTGGGTTCTTGTAATCTTAGTACCTGTCAGTCAATTGTGTGACTAGAAAGATATAGTTAATTGTAGAAAATCATCTGCAAAGGCCTTCCTTCTCCCTTTTCATCTTTCATCAAGGATACCCTTCAACACTTGGATATAACATTCTCATATGGATTTTATCAGGATGAAAAAGTAAGTAAATGAGTCAGTAGCAGTTGACGTCTTTCTGCTTGGTCACTTTTTGTGTCAATAACATCATCTCTGATCTTTAAAACACTTCATTTCTTTGGGATATCTTGAGGCCACATAGTGGCAAAGAGAGAAGCCAGTTACTTCTCCTGATATTTTAGTAGGAGACAATCTCAGTAGGGGAACTAGATTAAAGATCTCAGAAGAGACTGAGAAAACCCATTTCAAGTTTTGATCTGATAAGCATACTGTATACATCGGAGAAGGACTGGGCCTGTGATTTCATTGATATAAGCAGCTTTTGGATGAGGAAAATCTCCTTCCAATAAAGGTTAACACCTTCTCTTCACCTTGTAGAGAGCTGGCTCAAACATTGACGGGATAAGTGACTTCTCTAGGGTTACACAGGCAATATGTGCCTGAGTCAGGATATGAGCTTAGGTATTTCTGGACAGTCAATAAGTGTTTGTTATTCCCTGGTTCTAAGGCCAGACCTTTTTCCACTACTCCAAGCATGTATGTGTACTATAGTCACAAGAAAAGACTGTCTTGTGGGAGGGAAAGAGTTACTAACACTTGAAAATTACAGTCAGCCAAGTCAGCATTCCTTAAAAACAAACCCTCTTCTCACATCGATGCAATTCTTCCTAGCCCTAAAGCAGCATTAACAGCTATTTAGTTCATCTAGCTGAGCTTTCCAGAACATTATTTTAAATCACAAACTATAGTCATTTAGTGCATTACAAGGCTCTCATCTCTTTCACTAAAATTTCTGCCTAGGAACACTCCAGTATAAACAACAATCAGGCCTGCAGCCAGGGTCTCTATGACAAAAGACTTGGAAATATATATATATATATGTGTGTGTGTGTGTGTGTGTGTGTGTGTATGTGAGTATATACACACACATATGTGTATATATATGTGTGTGTGTGTGTATACATATATACATATACACACACATATATATACATATGTGTGTGTGTGTGTGTGTGTGTGTGTGTGTGTGTGTAGTAGAAGTAGTTTTGTTAAGGGCCAGAATGGTTACCCTTGGAGCTTGAAGCTTTCTCTCAAAGGGTGGAATAAGCTTCCTCTCTCAAGGAAATCAATGACCTCCTGCCTCAGAAAACTCCTTAGCTTTCTCCCCAAGAACTGTCCTCGTTTAATTATCCAGGTGAAAACAGCAGTTCACTATGCTAGGAGAGCTACTTGAATCTGTTTCTTTTTTTTAAAAGGTTTATTCATGTACCTTATTTTTACATTACAAACATTTACAGATTCCCTCCCACTTTGTGAGTTCCCTTGTAATGGAGTAAAACAGCTAAGAAAACTGATAATATAATGACCTCATCTGAAAGTGCCTGCAATGTGTCTCACCTATAGTATATCCCATTTAAAAAAAAAAAACCAACCACCACTTTCTCTCCCTTCTACTCTTTATCCCATTTTTAAAAAATAAAGAAAAAGAATTTTTCATAGTCAAGTAAAACAAATTGCCTCAATGACTGTATAAAAATATGTGGCATTCTGCACCTTAAATATGTCACATTTCTGTAATGAATGGTATGTTTCATCATTAATCCTCTGGAATAATGGTCCTTGTATTGATCATAGTTCTTACAGCTTTCAAAGTTGCTTATTTTTATAGCATTATCATTATTGTGTATAAATTGTTCTCCTGGAACTGCTCATTTCATTCATCGTTAGTTTATAAGAGTCTTCAAAATTGTTCGTTTTTATGATTTTGCTATTCTAATATAGAACTTTTTTCTGGTTCTGCATATTTCCTTCTGCATCAATTCATATACATGTTTCCACATATCTCAGAAATCATACATGTCATCATTTCATATAGCATGTTAATACCCCATCACATTTCTATACCACAACTTACTTATTCAGTCATTCCTCTGTTGTTGGACATCTTAATTTCCAATTTGGGTGGGTGGGTGGTTCCCCCCCCCAAAAAAAAAGAGCTGCTATAATGTACATACAAACTTTTGCTTCTTTCTTTGTTCTCTTTTGGGCAGAGGCTTAGTAATGGTATGTCTGGGTCAAAGGGTGAGCACTATTTAGTGAATTTTTCGTGGTGATTCCAAGTTGCTTTCCAGAATGGTTGTACTCATTCATAGATCAACCAACAATGTATCAATTTGTCTGTTTTCTTATAGTCCCTCCTGCACATATCATTTTCTTTATTTTGTCATCTTTGCCACTTTCATGGTTATGAGTAGAATTTCAGAATTGCTTTAATTTAAACTTCTTTAATTAGTAGTGAATTGAAGCTAGCCTGGGTTTCTTCCCTTGAGAACTATATGTCCATCTCCTTAGACTCTTTATCAATTGGGGAATGGCTTTTTTTCTTATAAATTTGAACCACTTCTTTATATACTTCTTGGAAATAAGACTAATAGAGAAAATTGCTGCAAAGATTTTTCCCAGTTCTATCTCTTTTAATCTTAGCATTATTCTGTTTTTATGAAAACTCTTGAAAATTTTATACAATCAAAATTACTCATTTTCTCTTCTGCAATTCTTTCCATTCCTTGTTTGGTCACAAACTTTTCTCCTATGTATAGATATGCTAGGTAATTTTTTTGTCCGTGCTTCTCTCATTTGTTTGTGATGTGACCATGATGTATGGGTGCAGCTCTGGTCAGTGTCTACAGGGTCTTCCTGTCACAAATGGTCATAAACAAGGGGAAGTGGACCCAGAAATGACAGCACAACCAAGTCAGTTGAAAGTTCTTCAAAAGCAGAAGTGAAATGTCTATGAAATTTTGCAACATCATTGCCTTGAAAGAGTTTACTGCACTTCCAGATAAGCAATAAATTACTTATTTTTTTAAGTACAAATTAAGCCATCCTCAATATTTCACAGTTTATGAATAGGGTCCAGGGGTTGCAACAAGGATGTCTCTCCAGAGACTCCAGATCACTGTTTTTGGACTGGGGACAAGGACAACATGTTCCAAACATCAGGGCCAATTTGCCAGGAATGGCACAGTTTTCAAACACAGAACATATGTAACAGTGCACGTACCAGATCCTGCTACACATAAAATCAATAGTTCTGATAATTTCTGCTCTTTACACCCTTGTAAAAAATAGTAATCCCAAAACTGCTTAATCTAATAGGTTGTACTAAATAGAGAGAACTCATTATTCAAAAGAAAAAGATCCCTTGTTTAGAACAGCTTGCTTGTTCAGACAGCATAGTAACCTGCTTAAGCAGCATTATTAATAATTGTACAACCATTTCCTCTGAATCAGTTATGTCATTACAGTAAGTGGTTAATAGCCCAACACCA